TCTCCAACATACAGGAGCTTCCTTGAACAGTTCACTACAAAACAATGAATTTAACCCAGATAAATTTCGTCAGTGATCACTGATGGATCACCTAGAAAATATGAGCAGTTCGTAGAACCCGATGTATTTTCGAGAAAATACCAATAAATCACCTACTTAGAGAATCTTGGGTAATCTGTCATTGATTTGAATTACCCACCAACAATTTGCCAACTAATTTTTGTGACGAATCATCCTTTAGCGATAGATTTCTCAGGAAAAATCCGTAGGCAAAAGTCTTTCATTTAGTAGTGGCTAAATCCTCCTTGTGCCTCTAACTAGCACTCAAATCTTCATAGTGTCGCTAGTATCGAACCTCACAAGGACCTGATACACATGCCGAAATAAAAGTGTTAGGCTTAATGCCCAATAAGTTCAATCAGTTTTCATCTTTAATATAGAATGGTAAAATTGAATTATGCTATTTAAATAACTATTTCCCACATAAAATGTATTTATTGTAAAACAACATATTTTCTAAAACCCACCATTAATTTTCATGATAAAAACTTAGTGACTAAAGCACCCATTTTAACATAAAACCAAAGTTCAATGCCCATCGAAAACGTAAATAAACTTTAATATTCAAATATTGAAACATTGATAAAACTCTATGTGAGATCCCACATCGGTTGGGAAGGGAAACAAAAGTTTCTTTATAAGGAACTTCAAGGGCCTACCGGCTGAATTGAAGTCCTCGGTGCGAAATGCGAAGTTACCTATACTTCAAGAAGCCATAGAAGAGCCTAATTGATGGAGGATGACATTGTTCAAAGAAAAGAAGAGAGAGAGAGATGCGGTAAGAGAAAAGAGAAAGTGGGAGGATCAACTGGTCAACTGGGATCTTTCAAGAGGCCAAGACCATTTGTTGGAGGGAAAGGATTTGATATTCATCGGAAAGGTAGATGGTTCTCAAGGTGTAGAAGCAAGCACTCTTGTTTATGTAATTCAAGCTCGAGTGATTCGTTCAAGGGCGGAAAGCTCTGCCATTCAATAAGGGATTGTCCGTTAAGGGGCTTGTTTCGAATGCAAGGAGCCGGAACATCTCAAGAATGATTGCCCAAAGCTAAAGAATTCATTCCATAACAAGCTATAATCTTAACAAAACTTTCCAGATTCATTGAATAACAAAAAAAATAAAATCAATTTTTAATATTATAATATATTAAAATCTTTAAATCTTTCCATTCATATGAATATGTTTCATCATCATGAAACGAGTGCATGCACATGTACATTATTAATAAAATAAGCAAATAAACCATTTTATAATGAAACATTCTTATATGAACATTAATTGCTTAAAGAATAAAATATATTATGCACCCGTTTCATTATAATGAAACATTTTCATTATAATGAAACATTTTCATTATAATGAAACATTTTCATTATGCATACTAATATATTATGCACCGGCGGTTTCATTATACCAACCTCAAATCAAGAATTCATTCCATAACAAACTATAATCTTAACAAAACTTTCCAGATTCATTGAATAACAAAAAAAAAAATCAATTTTTAATATTATAATATATTAAAATCTTTAAATCTTTCCATTCATATAATTTTCATTAATAAATTTCCTTATTTAATATTCCTTAATAACTTCTTTATTTATCAAAAAAATAATGAAAATGACCGAAATATCCTTATTGATTAAATTTAATTAAAAAAGAATGGAATTTTTCTATTGGTCGATTTTGGTTTACACAGTTTTTTAGAATGACATGGTTTTCATTTGAACCTGCCCCTATATATATATATATATATATATATATATATATATATATATATATATAAGAAGGTATATGAAAGAAAATAGAGATTTTGAAAAAGAGTTGGCATGTGGTGGGGTTTAATAACAAGAAAAGGGTGAATGAACCTCCTTATTTCAAGCCCCTTAACTTGTGTTTTAGCTTGCACCACATGGTTGGGAAGGAAAAAGGAGAGAAGTGGAAGGTGAACCAAAGCCCACATACAACCACATTCGCACTTTACTTTTCCTTTTTATTCTTTCTTTTTCATACATTTTAAATATATATATTTTTAACTACTTCTTTAACAAATTTTTTTTAATGCTTTAACTCCATTTTTTGTAATCTTTAAAATATAAATATTTGAATATACCCCTTGTATTTATATAAATGTATTCCTTTATTTAAATCATTTTATATCGTTATCTAGTTTATCAAACATTATTGGTTTAATTATATTTTATCAGTTAACAACTAACTAGTTTATTAATTAATAGATAGCGTTTTATATCATAACTAATTTGTTATGAATAAATTATATATCGACCAGTTTTAGAACTTGTGGTTTTGCCAATGTATATCTTGAAACCGATTTGATGGTCTTCTAGAAACAAATAACTCCTAAACAAGAACAACGACTATCTTCATGCTTGCATGCACAAGAAAAAGTTACACCCACCATCATATTTCTTCCATTTTTTCCAACAACTAACTTATTAATTGAGCTATATATTTATATATAGGGACGGTTTCAGTTATAAACTGAGTTTACATTATAAACTGGGGCACAGTGGATAGCGCGACACACGTCCTACACATTCACAAGTTATTTCTGATATATCATTCATCATGATTGGTGTATCAATTTATTATGGATCATTTAATGATTATTCACCATGAATGATATATTATTTATCATGAATAGTTCATGAATATTCACCTTCATTATTCATGATGATTGTGGACACCCATGACACGGGTCATGCTCTTCTTTGTCTCTCAATTCACAACCAACTTCTCTCCCTATGTGTGTGTATATATACATATACACACACGCATATATATATATATATATACATACTTATTTTTGAATTTTTTAAATTAGTATGTATTTTTCATGGTTATTAGTTTTTTTAGGCAAGCATTGCATCCACTCGTAGAAGAACTCTTTGATTTGTGTGTTCCATGTTTGAAGGTGTTGCAAGTTGGGTTTTAAAGCATTATGTAAACTTGTACTCCATCTATGTCAAAACAAATTCTTCAAAACAATTAATTTTAGGTGTTGAATTTTGTTCAAAATTTATTTGAAGAAGTGCAATAATTAGGAGAAAGTCAATTGTCACCAAATCTAGAATTATAGCTACAAGAGAAAGAAGAAGTGGTATTTTGTTGATTTTTGCATGAAGAAATATAAGGAAGCCTAAAACCATGGTCCGCAACTTTCTTATTTGTAACATGCATCTTTCTTGAGGATTACACTAAGCTACATAATATTATTCATCCTTACGATACGCCCATTTTTTTTCTCTATTTATATACTTATTGAATGAACCATATATATAAAAAGAAAATGTTTAACCAACATATCATTGTTTTTATAAATAATACATGAATTCTACAATAAGTATATAATTTATGAAGTAAAATAAATTATGATAAACGAATGGTTTGATGAATAATATAATTATAAATTTGAAAGTTGAAGAAAAAAAAGCCCAAAATCACATCTTCCTTTAATTATTTTATTAACTACACCTCACTTTATACCTACCGAAACAACCTCACCTTTTTTTTTTCTCCCATTAATCTGGATATCCAACATGCCACGCGAACCAATTAATTTTAGGGCGACCATTTATTTTACAGGTAGCTTGGAAGCATCGTATTAATTTGAACTTCTATGACCATAAAGTTATTTTTTTTTTTTGAATTTGAACTTGCGACCTCTAAATACTTTTAACATTTATAACTTAAACTTAAAACAATCAGACACTCCTGCCCTTTTGGTTAAATAACCTCACTTCATATCTACTGCCCCCTCATCCTTCTTACTTTATCATATATATATATATATATATATATATATAGTATGTATATGTATTATGTTGTTGTGTTTTCAATGTTTATATATATAATATAGATGACTGAATTTTATATCCGTATCCAATCGCTTAAATCTGGCTTACCTAAATAATTTTGTGATGTACTTTAATAATAGTAGGTTGATTGTTCTAAGCCCAAAAAAAATGTTAATTTAATGCAACCCAAAGTGCAAATCATGAGCACAACTTCTCACTCTCAGCCTCAGGTGGTATAATAACTATAACTATAACTATAACTATATATATGATATGATCATTTAAGTAACTATTCATGGAAATCGATATCAACTATTGATGTAGTTTTGAAAAAGTTTATTAAAGTAAAAAGTTCTTAACTAACTCTATCATACATATATATATATATTAAACAACAAGAAGAAGAAAAACCACTTAATTATATGTGGTTTCAAGTAAAATTAACAAATCAAATTTTATGTGTTCCTTAATTTGTATTTCCTAAGCTAAATATTTGTGTAAAACTTTGCAAATTTGAAAAACAAAAGAAGGAATTTATTGAACAAAAATAGAAATTAATGTACAATGAAACTAAGTGTATATGTACTCCATTAAAAAAAGTAAGAATCAAAAGATAAAAGAAACATATAAAAAAGATGAAGATCGATGGCAAAAACTAACATTGGATATAGACGGTGATGGAGACCGGATGAGAATGAGATCAATTTCCATAAGAAACACAATCCATGGATGAACAAGAGATTAAAAATGATCAAAGATCCAGATCTATTCTCACGCTTTTTATATTAACTATTCTTGTCTATGCATTATTTAATTAAACATAAGTGAAAAGAAAAACAAGAAGAGTAACAGATTGATATTTTATTATAATATGATGATCATAAGAGAGGCCACCAGCCACTCCCTCAAACCTGTCTCACCAACTCGCATCTAGAAGCAATTATAGGGTCACTCGTCTCTCTCCTTCCCCTATCCCTATATAGTCAAGATATATATACACACACACACACATATACGTATAGTCAAAAGATTATAAAACCCCACATCAACTTCTTAAAATGGCCGCCTGATCAATCAAAGGCTAATTTTTTCTTGACAACCCCACAGAGACGAAAAGAAAAGAGAATCCCCCCCACAAAATATTATTAGGAAAAAGGTTGAAGAAAATGGGAAGATCCCCTTGTTGTGAAAAAGCACACACAAACAAAGGAGCATGGACTAAAGAAGAAGATGATCGGCTAATTGCTTACATAAGAGCTCACGGCGAAGGCTGCTGGCGCTCGCTTCCTAAGGCCGCCGGACTCCTCCGCTGCGGCAAGAGCTGCCGTCTCCGGTGGATCAATTACCTACGCCCTGACCTCAAACGTGGCAACTTCACTGAAGAAGAGGATGAACTCATCATCAAACTCCATAGTCTTCTTGGCAACAAGTAAGTTTATAATAAACTCATCAAGATTTCTTGAAATCATCAGTGTTTAGTTGTTGAAGGAAAATCGAAATTCGTTAATTAATTAATTAATTAATGGGATTTTAATTTTAAAAAAATAGGTGGTCTTTGATTGCTGGTAGATTACCGGGGAGGACAGACAACGAGATAAAGAATTACTGGAATACCCATATCAGAAGAAAGCTTTTAAACCGGGGAATTGATCCGGCAACTCACCGGCCGCTGAACGATATCCCTACAAATCATCACACTACTACCACCACCACCACCACCAACATCAATAACAATAATTCATCACCGGAAGTCGCCAACACCATATCTTTTGCAAACGCTACTCCAACTACTCACGGTACTGCCCATCATCTTGTTAAAGAAGAAGCCGAGGATGAAGCAGAACATAATTCTGATGGCGGTGACCGCCGGAAAATCAAGAACACGTTGCCGGAAATTCAAGAAAGATGCCCGGATTTGAACTTGGAGTTGAGAATCAGCCCCCCTCATCATCATCAAAATAACAGCTCATCGTCTTCCTCCTCCTCATCATACATACAGCCACAACCACAAGTTGAACATGTTAATTACCACCAGCATCCGCCATTGAAGACAGGAGGGAGAAATTCGGGTGGTACTACTACTAGCATATGCTTTGCATGCAGTTTAGGTATAGAGAATAGCAAGGAGTGCAGTTGTACCACCAGTCTTAATGGTACAAGCAGTAGCAGCCCCAGTGGTTATGATTTCTTAGGTTTGAAAACAGGTGTTTTGGACTACAGAAGCATAGAGATGAAATGAGTATTTAAAATCAAACCGTTATTATGTGAGATTTTACTTTAAAAAAAACAAATTGGGGAAGAGAGATTTCTGTAATTTTTTTTTCTTCTTATTTTTCCCCCTGGAAAATTATATTCATATATAGCTGATTGCCCCTTGTTTCTTGATTTGTAAAAGTATATTGTTAAACAGTAAAGATCCGCCCTCTTCATCATTTTTGTTCTTGTTTTTTGTGTTTTCATGGATCAAGAAATATGGGGAATTTATGTTTCTTGAAATGGTGCATTTTGGGTGATTATTTATTTCATAAACCCAGAAACAAACCCAATGTAACAGATGATGGAGATGGAGTTGGGATATTTATGTTTCTTGAAAAGAGTTTTGTAGTGTTGTTATGATTATATGATATGAGGGAGGGTGGGTGGTTGCAGAATGTTGCCTTGGATAGATTGCAATTACAAGTAGATTAGCATCATTTGCTGTTGCTGTTGCTGTTGCTGTTGCTCTAGGAAAGATATAGAAAAGTTTGAGGGATATCATAGGGCCATGTGCCTACCTAATTCTCTTTAGTGTTATTGGGGCCAACCTCGTTTTAATAATCCATAATTCTTCAATTCAAAATAATGTCCCCAAGATGACATGTACCACATCTTGTATCTAAATGGTAAATGTTATAACCGTGTTTTTAGTTTTGGGGTTGTTTTTATAATATAATGAATAATTGAGGGGTGTGTTTAAAAAATCCTAATCCCTCTCACCTCCTCTTATACAATTTATGTATATACGTGACATCTTTTGTTTTCTTCTTGGTTACCGTGGGGATAAGAAGACAAAAAGTTGGTGAAGCTATTTTTCTTCCCGATTCGAATTAATAGAAGACAAAGAGGAATTGACTGCTTGTTGCTTATCTATTTTTTTTTTTTGTTGTTGTTGGATTAAATCTGCTATCCAATTGTGATTTCAAGGTGAGTTTATTTCAATGTCTTTATTTGAAATGGTTTTTTTATGGAACTATATGGTTCTATGTTGTTTTAAGACATGTGTAATTGCTATGTGTTAGCATAAATTTGGGTTTTTATATGTGATTATGCTCAACTGTTTCGAATAAGAATGGTATAATAAGAAAATATGTATAATTTGAAATAAGGGAGACATAATCTGGAAAGGTATATATTTTGAAATAAGGTGATATAATCAGAAGAGATGTATACTGGGATAAGAGTGACATAATCAATTCTTGGTTAAAATAAGACTTTGATCATATGAATTGATGTTATCGCATCTATATGATGCGATGAAAGGAGTTCATCGCATTTACTTGATGCAAAAGGATGATTTATCGCACAAGTATGATGCGAGTAATAAGTTTATTGCATACTTATGATGTGATGACTGAAATTCATCTTATTTGTTGGATGCGATAAAGTTGTTTATCGCATCATTGTGATGCAAGGAGTTGTAACTATCGCATTCTTGAGATGCGACAAGTGGGGTTATCACATGTGTGTGATGCGACAAAATGTGTTATCGCATCAATGGGATGCAACAAGTTGATGTGTTGTGTGTTTGATGCGACAAACTTGGTACCTCATGGGTTTGATGTGATGAAGGAGGTTGTCTCATCTATATGATGCGACCAAAAGAAGTTTGATTTCAATAAATGATATTTGCATACATTTTTGTAAAGATTGACTTTCCTAAAAGTAATTTGGTGATTTTTACTCTATAATAGCAACCAACAGAATTACTCACAAGACCTTATGGTTTAATCTTCGTTTTGTTTTTCAAAAATATGCATTACAGGAAGGGCATATGTGGAAGAGAAAGATGTGAAGAGATTGTTAATGCTTTACATTTGTGAAATTTTTGGGAAATTGAGCTTATACATGTACTTGAGAATGTGTTTTATGTGAGCATAAAGTTTGTAACTACTTTTATATGTAGCAATTTGTATATATATTGAGACCAGTGTATAATAGTTGTATTTCATATGATATGAAATATATGTGTTTTATGCAAATGAGAGTTGGAATGTAAGAGTAAATTACTTTATAGCTTTTGGAGAAAAAAGAATAGGTTTTTTCAAAACAATATTATAATTAAAATATATATATATATGTTAATTTCTTTTAATAAATTATATATAGGTGGGTTCTTTATGTTTTCTTGTAATATAATTGACACCCTTGTTAATTATTTTAATACATTAAGTATACTTCAAGGACCCACCATCACACTTCTTTGGTCATTACAATTTCTCGAGTGAAATTACATTTTTGGTCTATGTAATGTGTGTTCAAATTATAAGTTTTAAAACTATAAAAATGAGACATAATTATTTAAATTTACTATTTTTATATTTGTTTTCACTAATTATTTAAAAAAGTCAAATCTAACGTATCTCCTATTTCTCTCAATAATTTTTATTGGGAGAAGTCTAGAAAACCCAATGAACTTTAGTGTTTGGAATGATTAAGTCCTTAGACAATTTTTTGGAACAAATAAGTCATTGGACATTGCAAAACATGTTAAATAACTCATTGGACTTTCTAAAACCTGTTAGATACATTCTTATGACTTTTACAACTGGTTAATGTGGTAAAATAATGGGAAAAGTCCAAAAAAAACCGAATGAACATTCATATTTTAAACGATTAATTCCTTAAACATTTTTGACCAAAACATATTGAGATCTATAAAATTAAACAAATATAACAAAAAAAATACTTACATTTAAAAAGGATTTTTGATAAAATTTATTTTAATTAAAATTAAAATATATTATGTCGGTAATTTTTCAAACTAAAAAAATAAAATAAATTTAAAAAGAATTATTGATTAATTTTTTT